TGTATCAGGTACCTTTGGGTACACTTTCATATTTGTCATTCAAGATTCATTCAGTAAATTTATCAAATTATATCCTTTAAAACAGTCAACAGCAAAGTCTGTTGTAACAAAAGTAAAGCATTTTGTTGAGATTATAAAGCCCAAGGCAATAATGACAGATAATGGAAAACAGTTCGTAAGTAATCACTGGAAACAATCAATGAGTGAATTAAATATAAAGCCAATATATACCACAGTTAGAAATCCTAGACCAAATACAACAGAGCGAGTAAATAAAGAGTTGAGCAGATTATTTAGGACGCTTTGTCATACTAACCACAAAGATTGGGCGTTAATATTGCCGAAATTAGAAGAATTGTATAATAATTCTTATCACAATAGTACAGGCTTCACGCCTTGTGAGATTCTTTATGGTGAGTCTAATGAGATGTCTTTTGACAAAGTAATTTCCAAAAGTAAAGACAAACATAATGTCGAACAAATTAGACAACAAGTGCGTAAAATCTTCAAAGAGGCAAGTCGAATAAGAAACACAAAATTTGATAAGCGAAATAGATTAATAAAATATAATATTGGTGACTTAGTAAAAATTTCAAGGTCTAGTAGATCAGACGCTGATGATAAAGTTATGAGTAAGTTCAATTTGGCATATGAAGGACCTTATGTAATAGCAGCCGTACCATTTGACAATGTATATACCTTAGCAAATCCAGAGACAAACGAAATTAGAGGAATTTTCAATGCTATTCACTTATTAAAATATTTTAAATAATAATTTCTTTTTGTATAAATTAGAGTAATTAAATAAATATTGTAACATAAAAGGGTTTTGTGGGTGGCCCATGGAAATAATTGTTTAAGTTAAAGGTCTAAAATTATTAAAGTTATGAGCAAGAGATTTGTTATATGATAGTAGAACGTTATTAATATATAATGAAGAGTTGTAAATATAGATCGTAAGATAATTTTGTAATTATTTTTATTAAATAAATATGGGAGTTGGGTCAGGGCGAATGGCTCAAACACATTTATCCTATATGGTATCGAACTGACCTCAACAAATATCAAACTGGATTGTATGCACATAAAGTGTGACACTATCGAAATAATGTTTCAAAAATTTAAAGATAAATTAATAAAATAAGAAATCGACAATTGACTGCAAACTTTATTAACAACACGATATACAATAACTTGAATTATGGTGTTATCACATTGTGATAATTGTGGTTGAAGGGGTGTTGGTGGCGGCCATTCTCTGGGGCAGGGGGATTTGATAACATATGCCGTATTGTAACAGATTAAAAGAGGAAAGAACAGATATATAAACAATTATTTGAGTGTAGTGTATATGCTTTCAAAATACTAAAATTTTATATTAACGACTCCACTATGTGGATCATTAACATAAAATTTGGGGGTGGCTTGTGACGCCTCGTAATTATTATTAATAAATAATAATTAAATTCACTATACAGACATTTAAAAATGTCATAGAAATTATAATTTAAACAATCAAATGCAAATAATAAGCATAAAGTTCAAAAATATCCATTTGGAATATTGAATATTATATATATATTAGTAAACGCATAAAATGTCTCAAAAAATCTCTAAATTTATTAAAAACCTGCTTAAAATGTTCAAAATATATCAAATCATATAAATACAAGTCGATTATATTGCAATAACAAAGATAAATAACATTTGTAATATAATAGAAAAAATGGATAAAAATTTTCTTGTGTCGACCTCATGCGGGTGGTAGCTGGAGGGAGAATCTGAGGAGGCTCTCAAGGCTGCGGCCGAAAGCCGCGCAACGTGGGACCCCATTCCTTTGAGGTGAGCGGTAGACTCATGACACGCTCTGCGGCCAATTGGCCGTGCTGACCATGCAATTGGTGGTGATGCCTTACATTTACATTACGTCTGCAGGAACGGCGGTCTGGCAGGTGGTGGCGCTCACGGAAGGCTTTTTATGGCCAGTGTGCCTATTGTTGCCTAACCCGTGTGACGTACATTTCACTGTGGCTGGATTTGATCGTATTCTGTATGGCGTTTACACGCATTGACATGCGCGACTTCGGTCGATGTTTGTGCTTACGCACTATCAAGGGGCCAAGTCCTCTTTTACTGGTTCGCCAGTTATTTTGCTGTGGACTACGGTCTAGTTCCCAACTTTGCGTACCCTTCGGGGAGAGCGCATTAAAATGGTTGGCGCTCACCGTGCGCGGCGTGTGTGGGGCCGTGTACCTCCTCCACATTTTTTTTAAAATGTGGGAGAGCGAAGCCCTTGTAACTGGTATTTGATATAAAGATTGTGAGCCTTTTCCAAGCGGGAAGGGATTAATTAATAAGGAAGTGACTGTTGTGAACCAGATACAAGTGGAATAGGGACAATTTATTGTTCTTAACCTTTTTGAGCTCTGTCTTCGTGAACGGGGTTCTCTAGCTTATAAGACTCCTACCAACAGCTTTCGATTGCTCTCTTGAATATTCATTCTTCCAAGATACACCTAAAAGAACTAAGTTACTATACAAACACAACGTAAAAAAGGGTCCTAACTAAGACGATCACGCCATAAATTTATTAAACGGCCTATATTTAAACCTTTAGAAAGATCAAGTTATACTGGTCACGTAAATTAGATATATTTATATATCTTACAGATATAGATTCTAAAGAAATACAAGTATAAGTGGATATATAGGAGAAAAGAAAAAAGATGGGGGGGGGGTTCGTTACAATTTGGTGCCGTGACCAGGATAGAGGTTAAATTTTAAATAGGAGGCCGGTGATATAAAATTATGAGGTAGGCTATATGCCTACAATTTGTTGTCCGTGAAATGGAGAGGTGTCTTGGAGAGTGGTGTTTGCTGGGGGTGGTTGAGAGTCTGGGGGTGGGGCTTAAATATTAAAATTGAGTAATAATATAGGAGAAGGTGTGTGCATAACGGAGCGAAATAATAAAAAGTGAAATAAGTGGAAAGACTCAATTAAACTAAGTGAAGGACACAACAGGTGTAAAAAAAAAAAACTGCAATACTATATATTATATAGTGAAATAAGTGGAAAAACTCAATTAAAGTAAGTGAAGGACACAAAAAAAAAACAAGTGGAAATAAAAATTAAAAATGGCTAAAAATAAGAAAAAATCAACCTCAATTAAGGCTAAGTCTAAAGATGAGATGAAAATGCTTCAGAAATTAATTAAGAATGCAGTGAAAACCTTTGAGGTTAAAATAAAGGATCTTGAGGAAAAATTTATTAACCAAACGAAAGATTACCAAATTAAAATAAATCAAGGAGAGGTGTCCGGGGCGAGCACCTCTCATGTAAATGATCCTAGACAAAATATTGTATATAATGTACATAATATAACAATAGAAAAGCCGAAATTTGGAAATGGAAATACTCATCCAGTATCATTTTTGGAAGATCTCACCAATTATTTAAAGAAAGTTCCATCTAATGGTCTCGAAATTTCGATTGCACAAGAGTGCTTAGTAGGTGAAGCCAAGTATTGGGCGCGCATTAATAATGTGCGTTGGACAACTTTTGATGATTTTAAAGCTGACTTCCTAAGAGTGTTTTGAGGTGAAGAAGAACAAAATAAAGTAAAGAGATTCCTTGTGCAAAATAAATGGAATAGAAGTACACACCCCACCATAGTTAGTTATTTTCTTTATGTGGTTGAGAAGGCACAAACATTATCATATCCGATACCTGAAAAACAATTAGTAACTGATGTCATCAGACATTATCCTAAAACTGTGCAGCAATTATGGAGAATAGCTAAAATTGAGACAATAATAGACACGACAGATTTCTTAAGAAACTTAGATGACATCGACAAACAAGATGAAGGTCATGAACCTTACTATAATAAGAAAAGGAGGAAGTTTAATAATAATACGGAGCAAAAACATAAAGAAATACAACAATCATACAAAACATGGCGTAAACCCGAAGAGGGAAAAAAGAAGGTTAATGAAGTACATGAAATACATTTCACTAATGACCAACCTGATGTTACGGCCCCTGAGCCAAATTTAGAGCTGTAGAGGTCGAACTAGTTCCCGATTCGACCCCTTACAATGTAAAAGGGAACAAAGCATTAAATATGTTATTAAAACTGGGTTGGCGACCTGGTCAAACATTGGGTAAAAACAATAGAGGGTTGCGAAAAACTATTACTTTAAAAGCAAATTTTAACAGAGAAGGCCTTGGTTATAACGAAAATGTAAATACCATATTAAACACCTTAAAAGCCAGGTCGGACTTGCCCATAACGGAGTTATTCGTGCAAACCGTCTTCGAGAAAGACGAAGATAAATATCAAAGGGAATTTATAGGGAATATGAGATCTGAAATTAAAGTTTCAATATTTGACAAAGAAATAGACGCGCTCCTCGACACTGGGAGCGATGTTACATGCATTTCAGAAAGTTTATATTTACAAATTAAAGATAATAATCGTAAAATATCAATAATGCCAGTTAAAGCAATGCAAATAAAAGGTGCTGTTGGACAGCGCAGCACAAAAATACAACAAATGATCATATTGCCTATAAAGATAGATGAAGTAGTCTTTGAAACACAAACTTTAGTTGTAGGTAATTTAATAAGACCTTTAATATTAGGCTTTGACTGGCTCAAGAGAAATAAAATATTGATTGATTTGAGAAATACTACTGTTGGAATAGAATTTAAAGTGAAAAACAAAGACTACTTTATACCTTTCAAATATAATAATAAATCTGTATTATATAATAACTGCATCAAACAATGTACCGATGATACCTTAATAAATATAAAAATAGGATCTACATTGGAGGTCTCTGCAAGGGCAAAACTTAGTAAGGTTTTGGAAAAGCATAAGAATATGTTTTCGAGCAAATTGGGAAGAGCCAATTGCTATGAGCATAAAATTGAAATGATCGATGATGAACCTATAGTTACTAGGTCCTATCCCATTCCATATGCAAATAGAGCGAAAATGGAAGAAAAGTTAAATGAAATGGAACAAGCTGGTATCATCACAAGGACATCAACGCCTTACAGTAGTCCATTGACATTCCCTCTTAAAAAAGACGGCTCAATTAGAGTACTGCTTGATGCCAGAAGCATAAATAAGAAAATGGTTGCAGAAACAGAGAAACCACCTATACAATTAGATGTTTTGAATTCATTTCACGGAGCGAATTATATCACTACCATTGACTTAAATAATGCATATTTTCAAATTCCGATAAATAAAGATGGTAGAAAATATACTGGATTCACATTCAATGGAAAGTCATATGTATATAATGTTTTGCCGCAAGGATTAAAAACATCAGTAGGAAGCTTTAGCAGAGCCATGAATTTAATATTAGGACCAGAAGTCCAAGAATTTTGTGTGAACTATTTAGATTATCTAGCCATTATTACAACAGGAACGTTAGATAAACATTTGGAGCACATTGATATTGTTTTAAGTAAATTGAACAAAGCTGGCTTAACGTGTAACTTGCAGAAATGTGAATTTATTTGTAAAGAAATTAAAATGCTGGGTTTTATAATTTCAACAGAAGGCATAAAGACAGATCCCGATAAGATTCGAGCGATCCAAGAGTTTCCAGCACCTAAAAATATTAAACAATTAAGGGCCTTTTTAGGTCTATGCAATTTTTATAGAAGGTTTATACCAAATTACAGCGAGAGCATAATACCGCTCTGTGAATTACTTAAAAAGGGACGAAAGTTCAAATGGAGCGGTAAAGAACAGAAGGCATTTGATTTTATAAAACAACAATTTATTAATACAATACAATTGCATCATCCAGACTTTAATAAGCCGTATTATTTACAAACAGATTGTTCCGGTGTGGGTATGGCCGGAGTACTATATCAGATAGATGATAATAATGAAATGAGAATTTTGGGCTATCATAGTAAAGCCTTAAAAGGCCCCTAATTAAATTGGTCTGTTACTGAACAAGAGTTTTATGCTGTAATAAGCTGCCTAAAGAAATTTGAAACATATTTGCGGGGCAGTAAAGTAATAATACTAACTGATCATAAAGCATTATTGTTTATTAATAATATGAAGTTATTCAATGGTAGAGTAACCCGATGGATTTTGTATATAGAACAATTTAATTATGAAGTACAGCATATATCGAGTGGACGTAATATTGTTGCAGATGTGCTGTCACGTTATCCTCCTGATGGCGATTTAATACAAGAGGATAAAAATAATAGTTTAGAAATTGCTAACACAGAGAGCGAACCGAATATTGAGTTGATAGAAAAATTAAAATCCTTATCAGTATATCAATTACAAGATTCAGAGTCGTTGGCTATTATTGAAAAGTTAAAGACATTAAATACTTCCATAATAAAACAAAACAATAAATTTAAAAGGTATAGTTTGAAAAATGATGTATTATATTACAAAACGAATTTACAAGAAGTAATATATTTACCTAAAGCATTGAGACAAGATATTATAAATCAAGTGCATGTCGAAATGGGTCATCAAGGACCCTATAAGGTAATTAAATATGTGAGAGACAGATTCTTTTGGAAAGGTTTAACAAAAGATATTAAAAACCAATTAAGGGCTTGTCATTTATGTCAATTATCTAAGAAAAGCAATATAACATATGTGGGTCCCTGCAAATCTATAATAACAGAAAACATTGGCGATATAGTCATGGCAGACTTATATGGACCGCTTGTATCAGGTACCTTTGGGTACACTTTCATATTTGTCATTCAAGATTCATTCAGTAAATTTATCAAATTATATCCTTTAAAACAGTCAACAGCAAAGTCTGTTGTAACAAAAGTAAAGCATTTTGTTGAGATTATAAAGCCCAAGGCAATAATGACAGATAATGGAAAACAGTTCGTAAGTAATCACTGGAAACAATCAATGAGTGAATTAAATATAAAGCCAATATATACCACAGTTAGAAATCCTAGACCAAATACAACAGAGCGAGTAAATAAAGAGTTGAGCAGATTATTTAGGACGCTTTGTCATACTAACCACAAAGATTGGGCGTTAATATTGCCGAAATTAGAAGAATTGTATAATAATTCTTATCACAATAGTACAGGCTTCACGCCTTGTGAGATTCTTTATGGTGAGTCTAATGAGATGTCTTTTGACAAAGTAATTTCCAAAAGTAAAGACAAACATAATGTCGAACAAATTAGACAACAAGTGCGTAAAATCTTCAAAGAGGCAAGTCGAATAAGAAACACAAAATTTGATAAGCGAAATAGATTAATAAAATATAATATTGGTGACTTAGTAAAAATTTCAAGGTCTAGTAGATCAGACGCTGATGATAAAGTTATGAGTAAGTTCAATTTGGCATATGAAGGACCTTATGTAATAGCAGCCGTACCATTTGACAATGTATATACCTTAGCAAATCCAGAGACAAACGAAATTAGAGGAATTTTCAATGCTATTCACTTATTAAAATATTTTAAATAATAATTTCTTTTTGTATAAATTAGAGTAATTAAATAAATATTGTAACATAAAAGGGTTTTGTGGGTGGCCCATGGAAATAATTGTTTAAGTTAAAGGTCTAAAATTATTAAAGTTATGAGCAAGAGATTTGTTATATGATAGTAGAACGTTATTAATATATAATGAAGAGTTGTAAATATAGATCGTAAGATAATTTTGTAATTATTTTTATTAAATAAATATGGGAGTTGGGTCAGGGCGAATGGCTCAAACACATTTATCCTATATGGTATCGAACTGACCTCAACAAATATCAAACTGGATTGTATGCACATAAAGTGTGACACTATCGAAATAATGTTTCAAAAATTTAAAGATAAATTAATAAAATAAGAAATCGACAATTGACTGCAAACTTTATTAACAACACGATATACAATAACTTGAATTATGGTGTTATCACATTGTGATAATTGTGGTTGAAGGGGTGTTGGTGGCGGCCATTCTCTGGGGCAGGGGGATTTGATAACATATGCCGTATTGTAACAGATTAAAAGAGGAAAGAACAGATATATAAACAATTATTTGAGTGTAGTGTATATGCTTTCAAAATACTAAAATTTTATATTAACGACTCCACTATGTGGATCATTAACATAAAATTTGGGGGTGGCTTGTGACGCCTCGTAATTATTATTAATAAATAATAATTAAATTCACTATACAGACATTTAAAAATGTCATAGAAATTATAATTTAAACAATCAAATGCAAATAATAAGCATAAAGTTCAAAAATATCCATTTGGAATATTGAATATTATATATATATTAGTAAACGCATAAAATGTCTCAAAAAATCTCTAAATTTATTAAAAACCTGCTTAAAATGTTCAAAATATATCAAATCATATAAATACAAGTCGATTATATTGCAATAACAAAGATAAATAACATTTGTAATATAATAGAAAAAATGGATAAAAATTTTCTAAGTTGATGAAGGTGTTCGTGTAATAATTGGAAAATTTCTAAGTTAATGAACGTGTTCTTGTAATGTTCCCTTATATTGGGGCGTTGTCGGAGACACATACCCAAGGTTGTACATATATATGGGGTGGTCGGCTGACCGACTGCTAGTACTAAGGTTGCACAATGACTAGTCCTATATTAGGGACTTAACATAGTAAGGTCTGACGAACCAAAGCATTAATATAGAAGGTCTCTATATAGAGTTATGACTTGAAGTCCCATATGAATAAGACATACAGTAGTATGGTCTATGAAATAAAGCAAATATGTGGAAGGTCTCAAATATGTAAAAGCATTATATTGAAAGAAATGGGACTTGAAAAGGATTATTATAGTGGCGTGTAGGTTGCTTCGCAGCCTCTGAGACCGAGGTAAACTTGGACTCACTAACCGATGTATCCTAGACATATCATCTTAGTGCCGGTGGTAAGCGGGTTTGTTGTAGCAATACGACTTGCCCGTGGACATTGCACACCCCTACCGGTTGTGGGCGGCGTCTTAGCGCATAGCGTTATGATACGTCGGCTATCTTTCGGATTAGGGTGAGTGTGTTTGGTAGTACTTTTAAGTGCAGCAAGCATACTCAACTTCATGTCTTAGTGCAATAGCGCTATGATACGTGGAGTTTTGGCTACTGACGTCTTAGTACCGTACTACTATGATACGTTAGTGGTATTTTTAGTTAACAACATTATCAAATTTTGTTACCAAAGTCGATAGGGATCATGTGGGTGTGTTGTGAGGGGGCGCCATCCGTATGATAGTTGCATTGATGCTTACTGCTACTTGCAGTATTGTGTCTTGTGATGGATCTGCGGGTGTGCTGCACCTGATTCGATGCATCTTGTGGTTCTGGTCGATGGAGGTATGCGGGTGGTGATGTCTGCTAGGACTGTAGACCTTGGGATGGTGTAAGCCCGACGATAGTCGTATTGATGCTTGTTGCATTCTGTAGCATTGCGTCTCTACGATGGTTGTTTGGCGGGTCGCTATTCTCAATGGCGCTCTCTGCGTCTTGGTTTGACTCACAACCTAAGTAGCTTTGCCCAAGTCGGGTCCCTTCATTGCGGGGCTGCAGACTGTCTGCCCTCCATGATGTTTTATATAACAACTTAATAATATGTCTCTATAAAGTTCCCACCTTTGAGAGATTGAAGGCAACTTGTTGGTGGGTGAGACAAACATGATCGAAAAATGCATATACTCAACGTCAGTGACACAAACCCTTTCTGATGGCGAATTATTAATATTATCTTATAACTGCCTATTGGCTATATCTGCCATTGTATTGGTTGGTGGAGCATATGTGTCGACCTCATGCGGGTGGTAGCTGGAGGGAGAATCTGAGGAGGCTCTCAAGGCTGCGGCCGAAAGCAGCGCAACGTGGGACCCCATTCCCTTGAGGTGAGCGGTAGACTCATGACACGCTCTGCGGCCAATTGGCCGTGCTGACCATGCAATTGGTGGTGATGCCTTACATTTACATCACGTCTGCAGGAACGGCGGTCTGGCAGGTGGTGGCGCTCACGGAAGGCTTTTTATGGCCAGTGTGCCTATTGTTGCCTAACCCGTGTGACGTACATTTCACTGTGGCTGGATTTGATCGTATTCTGTATGGCGTTTACACGCATTGACATGCGCGACTTCGGTCGATGTTTGTGCTTACGCACTATCAAGGGGCCAAGTCCTCTTTTACTGGTTCGCCAGTTATTTTGCTGTGGACTACGGTCTAGTTCCCAACTTTGCGTACCCTTCGGGGAGAGCGCATTAAAATGGTTGGCGCTCACCGTGCGCGGCGTGTGTGGGGCCGTGTACCTCCTCCACATTTTTTTTAAAATGTGGGAGAGCGAAGCCCTTGTAACTGGTATTTGATATAAAGATTGTGAGCCTTTTCCAAGCGGGAAGGGATTAATTAATAAGGAAGTGACTGTTGTGAACCAGATACAAGTGGAATAGGGACAATTTATTGTTCTTAACCTTTTTGAGCTCTGTCTTCGTGAACGGGGTTCTCTAGCTTATAAGACTCCTACCAACAGCTTTCGATTGCTCTCGTGAATATTCATTCTTCCAAGATACACCTAAAAGAACTAAGTTACTATACAAACACAACGTAAAAAAGGGTCCTAACTAAGACGATCACGCCATAAATTTATTAAACGGCCTATAATTAAACCTTTAGAAAGATCAAGTTATACTGGTCACGTAAATTAGATATATTTATATATCTTACAGATATAGATTCTAAAGAAATACAAGTATAAGTGGATATATAGGAGAAAAGAAAAAAGATGGGGGGGGGTTCGTTACATGATATGTTGCAAACAAGTAACATTCATTGTAATGCAGATGACAGCACTGGTGATGCTCTATACACCGGCCGTGCCAATATTTATCGGGAAAACGTCGCCGAGTACCGGAACAAACTTGTGTCTGAAGTTGAGTCTTTGCTGAACA